CCCCATAGAGAATGTATGAAGACCCCATACTGACCTGCCCCAATAGAGAATGTATGGAGACCCCATACTGTCACACACCTTAAGACGTATTTGCAGAAAGAATGTGACAGAATATCACCTGAAATGCTTCATCGCTTGGTATCCTCAGTGCCAAAACATCAAAGTAGCGAATGCTGCAGTGTCCCAACTTTTCTTGGAATGTGTTTCAGGCATAAAATGTAGGAATGGATGTATATTAACAAATTAAATGAAGCTGACCAGACAAAGCATGAAATATCTTGGGTTCATACTGTCTGCAATGAAATAAAAGTCCAAGTAAATTTCAGAATCACTGCATTTTTTTTAATTTGCATTTTCCATATTGTCCCAACTTTTTGGGATTGTATCTAATCTGCTATATTTTGAAAAAAAAGGTGATAATACAATCCTAATTAATAATACAACTATTTACAGAATAAGAAAAAACTCATTCTCTAATTTTTACAATCCCAGGACTGTAAAATAGGAGAAATTTAAGGAAAGTCAAGATCACAGTTAAAACTGAAGGACATAACGACTACATATAATAAACTTTCTCTACAATGCAATTGCGATTAGTGCAATTTGCATGGACTTATCCTTGCCAATATTAATATAACTTCCATCCATCCGTCCATGAATCTATTTTTCAACTACTCATTCTTATCAGAATTGTAGGATTTCTTCTGGAATTCCTGTTCTAGAAAAGAGCAGGTTGTGTGAATCAGTCAGCACATTACCAAGTAATAATTCTTTATTCAATTTTAGAAATGAAATTCAGGAACACCAGGGGGAAAAAACAACTTCAGATTAACTTTACATATCCAGGTTTATCTAAAAATAATTTGTAAGAGTGTAAGCTTTGTAAATTTCTTGTGGATAAAACCACTTGCTTGCACACCTGTGAGTTGATGACGTTAAGGACTGTGATGTAAATATCCCTAGATATCCATTAGATTTCTATGACCATTCTAGTGTCATGCTGTTGTACATAAATTATTGCCAGCAGGGGGCAGGATAACACTTTGCTAAATTTACTCGTACAAAAATATATAATTCGGCGATGTCTCTTCCTTTATTATACAGCTTCCTGAAGCACATGCTATGTTCTGCCCAGTACGAAGTCTGGAAAGGTCACCCACATAACACAGAACAAAAACTCAAAAACATCAATCTTCATTACCAAAACAAAATGGTATACCTTGTGTGACCACTGTCTTTACTTATGTACATTTAATACTTAAGAGTAATCATGAGTAACCATAGCAAGTTGATGTGTGTCTACAACGTTTTCCTAGGTAGGAGGAATAATGCCAGTAGAATGAGAAAGGAACACAAACAGAATATATAGGCACTGAAGTAGTATTTATCAGAAATGATATGTGGTCTTGAGCTCTGAAAATGACAAATGGTGGAACCATGTATGGCAAAGGTAAGACAAAGACAGTCGTAGATCCGTTACAGGTAACGTAAACCTGTGACAACCACAGCAAACTGAGGAGTAGGCTGCAAGAGGGACGGTGGCCATAATGAGACCCTATGAGTGTCTCACAGTGAAGACACTGTATGTCAATATAAATCATTGATAAAATAAATATGTGCATTTCTGATACACTGATGATGTGTAATTCAATTACTCCATTTATTCCAAGACTTATTCCATACTTCAACAATTTATGTAGCTTTATGTTTTGTTACCCCCCCCAAAATAATAATAAAAAATAACAAAATAAAATAATAATTATAATAATACAAGACAGAATATATTTGAGTCATAGAACTTGCTAGATTCCCTCACATTGTGGGAAGCCCATTTATGATGTCATCCTGCCTGGTACATATTTTATGACCAACAAAGCTAATGAATATTTAAAAATAGGCAGGAATTCCACCCTGTTCAAGATATGGTTAACTGTATAAAAGGCTATACTGAAGTGTAAAAGTAGAGGCTTGTCTTGGCTTTGTGCTACATGATTACCCTGAAAGTGTAAATTATAATAAAAGATATAAGCCAGGCTCAGTTAATACAGCTATTACTAATGAAGTAATGAAGAGAAGGGACTGTATGACTATTATTTACAGGCATCAAGGGAGAATGTGTCAGCATGAGCTGCACCCCCCGACTTTCAGCCAGGGGGGACTCTCAGCACCTGTATAAGATACATCCCACATGCTGGTTAGCTTTGTGAGAGATGCCAACAGTGGGAGGTCAATGGCCATTTTCAAGGACGCTGACCTGTCAGTGGAGGGTTTATTGCATCACCTTAAATGTCCACGAAACGCTTGTACTGTGTACTTGCTATGCACCATATATCACGCACATTTCAGCATCGTTTTTGGAGGGGGGGGGGGGGGGGGG